AGAGAGAGAGAGAGAGAGAGAGAGAGAATTCACAACTACCAGTGCTTCACACATCAACAGCTCCAAAAGGAAAAAGAAAAAGAAGTATGAGGAGCGTAGCCTATGTCAAGTTAAATCACATAAAAGGAGGGGTAAAAATCGGCGTCCGTCTCGGCGACCTGCAGTAAAATATGGAGCCAAGTGCTACATAGCTCCCACAAACCTTTAGGATGCAGAAAAGAACCCTTGTGGAACATAGATCCCATCATAAAGACCTGACATGAGAAGCAAATTGAAACAAGTGCAAGAAATAGAGGAAGAAACGGATACCTGCATGTTGTTGTATCGATTAAAAGTCTTGTAGCAGACAGGGCAAGAGAACTGGGTAGGTCCAATAAGGATTTGAGAAGGAGTAGGAATCCAGTACTGGCCTTTGTTGAGCCTTCCTATGGGATTGGAAGGGTAGCCTATAGGAACCACATCATCACCACCTTCGGTTTCCTTCTCCGCACTATGATCTTCCGAGGTTGAGGGGAGTCTTGATATCAGATCGACTGCACCGGGGCTTGGGAGGCCTATGTGGAGGGCCACAGTCACCGCATCGACTTCATCGTCGGCTTCATCCTCGATACGTGCGGCTTTGTTCTTGGCCCCTTCGGCGGAGGCACTGCACGAGGTGTCCTCCTCCTCTTCCTCCTCCTCCTCCTCCTCCTCCTCTCGGTGCCTTGTGGGGCTGAGGCTGAGGAGAGGGAGCGCCTCCCTAAGAGGAGGGGAAGGAGGATGCCTTGGGAGGAAGGAGCTGGTGTAGCTGTGCGTGATGAAGCTGTAGGACTGAGTGGCAACTGGTGGCGGAGGTGGGGTGGAGGTGAAAGGGTAGTGGTTGTAGAATCCTCTGGAGAAATTAGTGTAGGGATCTGCCATGACAGGAGATGGACGGAAAGAGAGCAGCCCGATGGATATCTGTAAGGGTTGCCTGTTATAGAGAGAAGGGGCAGAGAGAAAGAGAGACGCTTCAGTAACCAGAATAAATAAACGTTCAGGACTACAGAGAAGACTAAATAATTCATTAGAGAGAGAGAGAGAGAGAGAGATCTAGAGAGAGAGAGAGAGATCTAGAGAGAGACAGGGAGAAGAAATGCCTGACTGACTACAACATGGAGGAGGGGAAAGTTAGAAGAGAAAGAAAAAGCAAAAGAAGGAAAAAAGATGGATCGAAGAGAGTCGTGCTAGAAAATATAGGGGACTTGCAACAAGTATACATGTATGGACTAAATAATATAACACTAACAATAATAATACCACATACAAACATGCCATACCACACCATCAACAGGAAGAAAGAAAGATAACAATTGTCGACGAGATTGGGAGCCCAATCTGTGGCTTGGGTTGGATGCTGTCTACAACTTGCTTTCCTCTTCTGGGCGTTGCCGGTGTTAATTTAAGTGGGAGTCGGAAGGAGTTCCCCCGTGTGTTTGCTTGCTTCCACACGGGCATTTGCGTCGGCGATCGAGCCACACGGTCGGCTCGGCTCTGTACCAGCCTACCAATCCACCCCTCATCCCGAAGCCAACCTCGCTTTGATCTCGGTGCGCTCCATAAAATACTATGCATCCCCACACGCACTCCTACCGCTTTCCCCCCACCTCGTTGTTCGTATCGCTTCCATGCAGCAGGTTTACGTCGCACCTTCCGCACTTGGTCTAGACCACGACGACACCGATCGGCTTAGCATGGCACCGATTGTTTGTGACTTGGCTCTTGACTTAGCATGGAAGACTCGCACACACTTGAGAAACATCATCCTACCTAAACCAATCTCATATTCTTGTATATTGGTAACTTAACTTACGCCATGTTCTTTTCAATCTTGCATGTACACATGTTCTCGTTTTAACAAAGGGTTGCAATGTTTCTACTTGTCCGGCTCAGCATCGGTAAAGCACCTTCCTGTTCGATCTTTGTGTCAGCCACGTTGCATTACGAATTATCCAATGATGGCAACTACTGCGTTGATTTGAGGTCACCCAAATGAATATGAGATCGATTGTGTTTTGCTTGAACTTGATAAGATTATAGAGTTTCTAAAAGCACAAGCTCGGATCAAACACGAGCTCAAGTCGTCAATCGATTTGTATCCGATATCCTATCAAACAAAGCCAGGATTGAGTGCACCAGATTCATGCATGTTTCATTAAATTCATAGTATCAATGGAGATTCATTGATGTATGCTGGTTATTGAACCGAAGCTTTTCTTCGGATAATTATTTGGTGCGATCCAATTATTTAGCAAGCTTACAATCTCATATCTGAAACGCGGTTTGGTATCTACTAGCAGTCGACAGATGTTGATACGAGCTACGTACTGTGACAATATCCTATTAAAGGATTCCATTTTCTTATATTTGCATGCATCCAGTCTCCTATTATTGGATTCCAATTTCATAGATTGGATCTACAAGGGATGGGAATTCAAACTGCTAAAGATGTCCGGTGACTGGGTCTCGTTTGCTCTCGGAGGCATGGGTTACCTTTCATTTCCTCATTTGAGTTCCCCTCTGATGGCGAAGGTCATGATGGAGACCCGAACCTATTTCCTATGCAAGTGCCAATGAGAAAGCGTCTTCTGTGTTCCATCGTCAATTAGCTCGTGAGAAGATTGCGAATGGCTGATAGGAATTAGGTTAGTCTCCTGAAAGCAACGTAAGTTCTGTACTACGAGCCATGCATGTGATCACCTATGTTGTCCTTAACTCGAAGCAAAATCCATCGGTGTTTGACCAAGCAGACCTATCTATCTTACTGTTGTTCGAATATGAGTCGTCGTACATCGATCGCAACCTTTTCCCAATCCTTGCGTCGACATCTTTGCTGGATGCCAGAAGAAGGCGTGCATGGGTGAGGCAACTTTTTGATAGGGAGAACTAATACAATATCTAAAACGCATGAACACGATTTTGTTTCTGAAAAGCTGCACAACGTGAATCGAAATTCCAAGAAAAGACAAGGGTGGCTTCTGTTGTGGCTCACGTTTAGATGGGTGATGAGAGAGAGAGACAGAGAGAGAGAGAGAGGAGCCTTAAATACTAATGATTCCAGAACTCGAGGTGCCGAAGACGAATGATGATGATAGAACACTAACACAATCTGGTTACTATGGAGGAGAGATGTCATCCACCGGCCTGAATCCAGTTCACTGTAGACATGGCAGCAGAGCGTGTTGTGATGGTAATAGTCAACAGTGACGCTATGAATAGGTTCAGCCAACTCTGACTTCGTTATAGGTGTACACGTACATACATATATCATGAACAGACAAGAAAACACTCTTCTAGATAGTGAATGAACATTATTGTTGATTAATCCTGGATGAGAAAGGAGAAAACTTGCCTTGTCTTTGATCCCGCATGGAACTTTTTAGGTGCACAACGAAGACAATGTCACACAGATCAACGTACTATATACGCTAGTGAATTATTCGTTCCTCTGAAGATAGAGAATATGTATGTGAAGTACAGAAGGAAAAGCTAGCCGACCAGATCTCACGGCTAGAGTTGCAGCTTATGGACATGGTCTACTAATATCCAGAAGTCTGGTCCTCTTACAGCTAGCATACATTGAGCTTTGAAGAGTCTCTCTCTCTCTCTCTCTCTGTGATATCCATGTCCACAGTTACTGAGCTAGTTGAAACCAGGAGTACTGGTTGTTTCCTGACAGTAACCGGGTCCAGGAGCGGCCAAATGGAAACCTGATGCACCAAAGTGTCCACTGCACCAGATGATAAAGCTAGATAAATGCCAACAGTGGTTTTGGTGTCTTGTGCTGTAGGGTCTGGAGAAGAAGGCATAGTTCCAGGGTGACATTTCAGACCGACACACAAGGTTCAAGGTGTGCGTTGGCAGCGGATATGAATAGCGAGGGAATTGAAGTAGAATAGTAGCCGGAGGAGGGTTGAGGAGAGAGCTGAGCGTTGAGGTAAGCAATAATCATTGCTGCAATTAAATCACAGACAGAGTCCGATACATGTAGGCCGAATAGTTGGTGCAAGAAGAGAGTACAGGTACCCAATGTCTGATTCATTTATGGGACGCCATTAATGGAAGAGGAGGGATGATTCCAACTATACATAGATTGTGATCTGCTCTTTCTAATGTCAAGTTGGGGTGACATGCGTTAATTAATACGTACATATCTGCTTCTGAAGGAATCAAGTCGCTGCTCCAAGAAATGCTCCCTGGAAGGAAGGGGCGCAAGCACATTCACGGGTGTGGCAAGAGCCTCACAGATCTGTGGGGTAGTTCCTCATAAACCCTTCAACTCTCAGATGCTAGTCCACGGCATGCGCCTGGATCTGCACAAATGACAAAGCTTGCGTGCTCTGTGACAGAAGGCAGATTTTTGGAGCATCCCCTCCACTTCACACCGGATAGTCATTCTTGCTCAAAGACAAATCAGCGTCAAGTTACAAACAGCTACTTACTTAGGTTGCTGTTGGAGATGAAGGGGGGTGGGGTGGGGAGAGGGTCCAAGCTGCCATGATTGGATGCATAATGAGCTATCAGGAACAATGAAGTGCACGGAGACATATACACATAATAGAATGAGAGAGTGCGTGAGAGAGAGAAACTTGTGGGTCTATGGAAAGGAATGTGTCTGCAGCCAGGTAGATTCCTTTCCTCTCCTACTATCTCCGGAATATTACACATCAATCACTCAAGTTATCGGAAAACCAAGTCTCTTCTTGCAGTTCTGTCATAACCCGATCGGACATCGACAAATCCAATGCACATATGAAAAGAAAAGATGACGGAAATGCATATCCTGATAGATGTCGAAGACAGATTTTTTACGTCCAAGGCACTAAAATTCAACACTCGACTGATCCACTGATCCTCCATAATATTATTGCATCTGTCACTGGGATTCCAAAAACATAATGACTTTCACGATAGAAAGAACAGCTTGCATATGCAGTAACAGCAGCATTAATTGCAGCGGCAACAGCAATATCAACAACAAAAGAAAATTCTTCCCAGTCGAACAACAACAGTAATAACATATACTAGTTAGAGATACCAGTCGCAAGTTTGATACTCAACATGTGCAGCAGGCAACGACATGATTGTAAAAGGAATATCTGCAGAAGAAGGGGGAAAAGAGGAAGATTATTGTTGCAGTGACCTACCTTACTTGCAAGCACTTGCAGATGGGGGCAAGGGAAAAAGCAAGCATCACCCAACCTCTTTGCTTTTGCTTTTAAGCACTAATGATTCTAGGCTTTACTTTGGTTCAGGGTCACACTCTGAGATAAGTGGCTCACTTTGATTATGATCGACTAACTAGGAAAATATATCTTGCTCTTTATTACATGTAAGGATTGCATGAACTAAAATGGGGTGGTTTGAAGACATTTAAATACAGCTTTTTTTTTGGTAGTCCCAATAAATCTTCATTGTTAAAGCTATTGCAATTGTTCATTACTTGTTTCTCTCCAGGAAACTGTTTATTCCTTAGCTTTCTTTAATCAGAATCAAAGTTAAGTAGTCAGACACTTTTTTAGAAAAAGAAAAAGACAAGAATCTTGGTTATTTTTATGACAAGGATGGCTGCTTTTCTCACAATCTATTTTCCTTCAAAAAAAATCTCTTTAGCACTTGGAGTCAATGATGATTTCTGACAAGGTTAATATAGGGTTCTCCCTGTGGGTTTCTAGGTGTTGGGAATTCTGCAATTGATATAAGATGTAGCATGTAGGTCAAGTGGATAATCATATCTGTCCTTCATCTTTAGTTAGGTAGCTATGCTTCAAAGGCTACTTCTGATCTCCCTACACAAGTATCTTCCAATTGGAACAACATCTAAATGCCTTCTCACCAAACTTGCAATATGAAGAAGCATTCGTTAGTGTCTTGTTAAAACCTGCAGTGGCTCATCTACTTGAACTTGTTTCCAATTTTATGGATGCATGACCATCTAAATTCATGGTTTCTTTTCTCCTCTGGTGTTCCAAGCTGTGATGCAAA